AACCCTAAACCCTAAACCCTAAACCCTAAACCCGAAACCCGAAACCCGAAACCCGAAACCCGAAACCCGAAGCCCTAGTACTACAAATGGACGCTCTGTTACTTGTGAACTCTCGAGGCTGGCGAAGGCGAACAGCTTCGAGGAGTACCGAAGGCGGGAGCTCATACAGGGTTTAGGGTTTAGGGTTTACAGGGTTTACAGGGTTCAGGGTTCAGGGTTTAGGGTTTACAGGGTTCAGGGTTCAGGGTTTAGGGTTTAGGGTTTAGGGTTTAGGGTTTAGGGTGTAGGGTGTAGGGTTTAGGGTTTAGGGTTTCGGGTTTAGGGTTTAGGGTTTAGGGTTTAGGGTTTAGTCAGCAACTTGAGATATGTTACCTTACACAGGAAACATTTTTGTGCCCTACAGGGCCATGCAGTACACGAGCTTGTAAGTTAATTTCGAGCATGGAACTGAGTTGAAGTTTTGTAGCCCAGCGAATGCAAGAACCCCTGTATACCTGCCTTGAAACTTTGGGAAGCCCGACGCCTTGCATTCTCAGGGTAATGACATGGTTCGCTTATAGGGGGCCTTGATTGGGGAACCCTTTCTAACCCTAAACCCTAAACCCTAATCCCTAAAACCCTCAAACACCCCGGGAAGGTCAAGGGGCCATACTTCAGAACCCTTCGAAGAAGGCAAAGGACCAGACTAAGGGACCATGGAACTTCCCTAGCTGTATCAAACCCTAATCCCGAAACCCTAAACCCCAAACCCTAAACCCGAAACCCTAAACCCTAAAACGAGTAGCTTCAAGCATCGAGACCCGGCTTGTAAGTCAGGCAGGTGCTGGCGGACCTGCAACGTCGCCAGCAAGCAGCTGCCAAGGAGGCAGATGCAAGAGTCAGGGTTTAAGGTTTAGGGTTTGGGGTTTAGGGTTGGGGGTTTAGGGTTTAGGGTTTTGAGGGTTGGTTGGGGGTTGGGAGTTGTAGCTTCATTTTTTACCTTGGGGGGGGGGGGGGGGGGGGTTGAGAGTTTAGGGCCATGGGGCTCGTAATTGCAGGTATAGAGCTCTCGAGGTTTGAAGGCTTGACGGCGAGGAGGTTCGGGCTTTCATAGCGATGAGGTTTCCGTTGAGTTCCTAGGTGTCACCTCCATTTTGAGGTTCCCCATCATACTAGTAGTCCTTAATAGCGATGAAAAAATGGAAAGGACTGTTAGTATAAGGGGGAACATCCCAACCTGAACTATATACATGTGAAATCAAGCTTTTCAGTAGGTTGAACCTCAAAATATGTAGGCATTTTAAACCCTAAACCCACGAACCCTCACCTCAAACCCTAAGCCTAGGCCTCAAACCCCAAACCCCAAGCCCCCTAACCCCTAAACCCTAAACCCTAAACCCTAAACCCTAAACCCTAAACCCTAAACCCTAAACCCTAACCCTAAACCCTAAACCCCTAAAGCCCAAGCCCCTCTGACCCGCCCTCGCGAGGCTGCGCGGCGTGCCGCGGAGCGGCAGAAGCGGCGTGCCAGGGACCCAGACTTCACGCAAAGTTGGGAAGTTAGGGTTTGGGGTTTGGGGTTTGGGGTTTGGTTGGGTTTAGGGTTTAGGGTTTAGGGTTTAGGGTTTATTGTTTAGGGTTTAGGGTTTAGGGTTTAGGGTGTAGGGTGTAGGGATAGGGCCTCACCACCCTCATTGCAACATGCCAGCAAGTGAGCATTGGCTCTAAAGCCTTCGTGGACAAACCAGTGGGTGACGGATGAATTCCTTGGTAGCCAGTGGTGTCCTTTACCCTATTTTTGGGTTTAGGTTCCCTTATAAAGTAACCAAACAAAACATGGTGCCCTTATTATGATATGGTTACCGGGCTACTAAGATTCTTGCAGTGGGAGTGATCGAAAGTTTGTAGACTTCTTGATCGAATCCAAGTATCGTAAGTGCTGAGTGCATCCTTCGTGAGATTCATCCAGTTTCGCTCCACAGTCAAACCGTATTCGGCTATTGTGGTCAGAAATGGAATTGGAATCCCTTGTTCAGCTTCGGGTTTACGGTCCTATTTGCAGCCCTTTTCTCTACTCAATTACAACCTTATCGCGCCTTTCTCGCTTCTTTCATGCCTGTCTCATATGCGTGTGTAAACTAGCCTCGGATCCCGGTTGTTCGGACGTTAGGGCCTTTAAAGATTCATAGTAGGGAATCTACCGCAAACCATTTTCGACTATTCTTTTGTGAGCATGAAAATAGAAGAGCATCCCTTTGAACCCTTGTCACTGCAGGTTTCCGGTTTGTGGGTTTAGGGTTTCGGGTTTCGGGTTTAGGGGGTTGCCCTGAAGCCTCAACTGCGAGCGGCACACTGAGGCTGCCAACCTCTCCCGCCGCCCACGCACAGCCCCGCGCGCCTCGTGATGAAGAAAAGTAGGGGTTAGGGTTCAGGGTTCGTTTAGGGTTTAGAGTTCAGGGTGCAGGGTTTAAGGTTTAGGGTCTAGGGTTTAGGGGAATCTTCCATGTACTTCCTCTGAGGCCTGCGGTGAACCCTCAGCCCTTGGTTTAGGGCCCTAAACCCTAAACCCTAAACCCTAAACCCTAAACCCTAAACCCTAAACCCTAAACCCTAAACCCTAAACCCCTTTAGGGTTCCAATATTTGGGGTTTCGGGCGGGCTCGCAGTCGCCGAGCTCGATACATGCAGAAGTCATAGAGTAGGCACCTTGGTAGGCCAGTGGGTTAGGGTTTAGGGTTTAGGGTTTAAGGGTTTAGGGTTTAGGGTTTAGGGGTTAGGGCTTATAGAAAAAACCCAAAAAAAGCGTGCCCTTATCATAATATGGTTGCCGGGCTACCAAGGCACAATGACCTTAAATGCTATAAGTCATAGAGCCCTAAACTAGAACGGGTCTTGCGAAGTCCAGTTTGGCCTCATAAGGGTTTGTAGGGTTTTTGCGGCCAATAAATTGGGATGTTCCGCCCCATACTCAAAGCCCTTAATAGGAACTCTAGTAAGGGGGTACACTATTCCCTATTAAGGCCTGCTGGCCCTAAACCCTAAACCCTAAACCCTAAACCCTAAACCCTAAACCCTAAACCCTAAACCCTAAACCCTAAACCCTAAACCCTAAACCCTAAACCCTAAACCCTAAACCCTAAACCCTAAACCCAAGTAATAATCGTGGGAGCGTGGATGGGGGTTGGGGGGGCAAAGCCCACACACGTCTCCCAGACCCGCCCTTTCGTGCGCCGGGCTTGGCAGCGAGGGTTGAGGGTTGAGGGTTGAGGGTTTAGGGTTTAGGGTTTAGGGTTTGGGGTTTAGGGTTTAGGGTTTGGGGTTTAGGGTTTGGGGTTTAGGGTTTAGGGTTTGGGGTTTAGGGTTTGGGGTTTAGGGTTTGGGGTTTAGGGTTTAGGATGCAATATATGCTTGAGGGTACAGGGGTTTTAGGTGTGGTTCACGGTCGTGGGGTACTGTAGAGCTGGAACGCCCAGACGGGATTTTGGGCAGTGGCCGGCAGATACAAACGGAATCCGAAAACCCTCAAACCGAGATCTTCTTCGCCCCAAGGAGAATACAGTGCTTGGTAATCCAGTGATACCCTTGTTCCCTTTTTTTGGTTCAAGGTCCCCTTATACATTAACAGCCCAAAAAAGGGTGCCCTTGTTGTCATTTGCTTACTGGGCTACCAAGAGTGTAACTCGTGCTTCACACTCTTTGCAGTGAAGGGCCGTCTGACACCGCAACCCACCCCGAAACCCATTACGGGGGTTTACGAACATAAGGGGGCCCCTAATTAATATAGACCCCCAAATCGTAGGATTCCCTTATAAGAAGGCACCCCTAATCTGAGAAACCCCCATTTACATCTCGGCCATGTCTCTGCTCGGCCGCCTCTGCCAGAGCAGGACGGAGGTGGGGGGGGGGGCGGTTTTTGGGACTTTGGAGGGCGCAGCTCCGTAGCTTAGTGTTGCTACTGGCTTGAAGCCCTATACCATAATGTTACCGCAAACTTAATCCTGCTGCACCCGTCTGCTCTCCTTATAATCCTCCTTCTGCAGACTCATCCCGGGCGGAAGTCATAATCGTTCGGGATTCAGCAACGCACGATCAGCAACGCAAGGTCGGGTTTCCAAGGTGGGTGGGAAGTGTGTTGGTAGTCTTTACGGATTCGGCAGAGATATGCCGACTTCAGCATAGGGTTTAGGGTTGAGGGTTTAGGATTTAGGGTTTAGGGCAGTATATATGCTGTAGTCTACCACAAAAGCGGCGGAACCGCGCGTCTGGGAGAGAGTTGTTGCGGTATTGCATCGCTGTCACAGCAACATCTCAAGAAGATCTGGGCCCTAAGCCCTATAAACCCTATAAACCCTCTAAACCCTATAAACTATAAACCCTAAAACCCTAAAAACCCTACAAACCCTACAAACCCTATAAACGCTAAACCCTATAAACCCTACAACACCCTACAAACCTTATAAACCCCTAAAAATCTCATAAACCCTATGGACCCTATAAACCCTATAAACCCTATAAACCCTATAAACCCTATAAACCCCTATAAAACACTATAAACCCTATAAACCCTATAAACCCAAACAAAGTGTTGGGTTTGAAGGCCTCCTGGGATGCAGAGGAACCAGCCAGCAGGGACTGGCAGCTGCACAGCCTTTGCTCTTTGATTCCCCGAAACCCTACACCCTAAACCCTAAACCCTAGCCCTAAACCCTAAACCCCAAACCCAAAAAACCCTAAACCCCTAAACCCCTAAACCCCTAAACCCCTAAACCCCTAAGCCCCTAAGCCCCTAAACCCCTAAACCGTAAGCAGAGCAAGAGTCGCCTGTCGGAGCAGCTGTTCATCCATTTGGCCAGTGTGGGGGTTCAGGGTTTAGGGTTTAGGGTTTAAAAGGTTTAGGGCGGAAGTGTTGAAGCAGCGTACTGGTGTGTTCTAGACTTGAGGGGGGAGTGCGTAGTCTGCCAGAGGCGCCGCGGCCTGCAGCTGTCTGATTGAGGTTGAGGTAGAAGCGTGCCGAGAGACTGATGGGCGCCGCTGCCTCAACAGCTCCACCACCCCGTGAGGTGCTCTCGCAGGAGCAATGGGCGCGAATGCGCTGTGCTTGGTTCAAGATGTTTGCGGAAGAAGACTTCAAGCCTCGCAGCATTATCCAGTTTATGTGCAAGCAGACCAAGACGGTGAAGTATGGCTCAGTCGACCGGATCATCGACCCAAATTCAGCTTTCATTAAGATTGCTGAAGGAGTCTTCATGGAGCTGAAGAAGAAAGACATGATTTGGTCCTTGGTTCCGGACACATGCATGAGCAAGGCAAAGGCAGCCATCTCCTTTACCATGGACGTCAGCAGGACGTGGCGGCTGTGGAAAAGCAAACATATCAACGTGAACCCATGAACTCTTCGACTGGCCCACTGCTCTCGAACCACATGAGATTTGAAACCACAAGCCCACATCTTCGCGTAAACTTCACGACAGCTGCAGCTCAATGCAGATAAAACTTATAGCTAGCTTTTACGGATGAGCCAAGCATGAACTTGTGCTTTGGAATTCAGGTTCAGGGTTTAGAAGCAAAAAGAGTCATGCACCTTAGACCCTAAACCCTAAACCCTAAACCCTAAACCCTAAACCCTAAACCCTAAACCCTAAACCCTGAACCCTAACCCCAAACCCTAAACAGGATTCTGGAGCTAACGTCTGTGGAGGGTGTGAAGCTGGTTGTCACCTCGGCGGCCGCCGAAGGCCTCGTTGGTGCCGCGTCCGTTACCAGCTCTTCGGCTTCAGATGGGTTTAGGGTTTAGGGTTTAGGGCCTAGGGTTTAGGGTTTAGGGTTTATAGGGTTTAGGGTTTAGGGTGCTTTAAGATGTGCTTTTCCAGGCAACATGGGGGTTCACGATTTCAGGAGTACCCCAAAACCCAAAAATAGTATACTCATAAGCAGTAAGGAGCCCCCCAGAAGGGTCTGCCAATTTTCGGAAACCCCCACATGACCTTGCGAAGTGTGGGTTCGATGGTGGACAGACATGCAATTCCATAAACATGGAAAAAGAGACAGCGAGAGCGAGGGCGAGAGCGAGCGAGAGGTAGAGCGAGAGAGATAGAGAGAGAGAGAGAGAGATAGAGAGAGAGACAGAGAGAGACAGAGAGAGACAGAGAGAGACAGAGAGAGACAGAGAGAGAGAGAGAGACAGCGAGGGAGAGAAAACGGGAGAGAGAAAGAGAGAAGGGGAGAGGTCGAGAGAGGGAGAGAGAGAGACAGAGAGATACCTACCGACTCAGACACAGAGAGAGATAGAGAGAGAGAGAGAGAGAGAGAGTTGGTTTATCTTGGTGAGGTCGCCTGTTTCTGGATGGAAGGGAAGGGAGAGACGGAGGGAGCCAGGGAGGGAGGAAGGCAGAGAAGGAAAGGCGCCAGGAAATGAAGCAAGAGAGAAAGAAAAGACGGGAGGCCTGAAGGAAAGAAGAAGGAGCGCAATAAAGCCAGGGGAAATATGCTCCTGTTTAGTATGCAACCACCTGATTTTTGACTGACGTCTCGAAGCGATGGCCAGAATCGGTTTAGGGTTTAGGGTTTAGGGCTTAGGGCTTAGGGCTTACCAAAAGGCGGACACCCCACGCTGGCTGTGCGGTGCTTGACGCATCAATTGAAGCGAAGATCTGCTTTTGCCAAGGTGGTTTGGCATCGCTTGGCGGAGGAACTGTTGCAACCGGTGGAATGGGCATGATGGGTGGCATCTTCATAGTAGCCGCCACACCATCCATGCTCACGGCTCACACCATCTACAAGCTTTGCGATGCCATGGAGAATAACTCGGTGACGCCGACCATAGTTGCCATGGGTGGTGTGGGAGGGGCTGTGGCAGGATCCACTATTGGTGTCTCGGTGATGATTTCAACAATCATTACTGTGTTCCTAAACAGACAACCCTTTGTTGCTTGAGCATTAGCACTAAGCACCCTCCACCAGGAGTGATCATGGTGGCTGAAAGCGGAGCTGTGGTAGGACTGTCGGCCTCTGGAATCACCAGCGGTTTGGCAGCTTTGGGCGGTGGCAGTGTGGCATCCGGTGGTTTGGGCATGCTGGGCGGCGTGGCCGCAGTGGCTACAGGCGCCGCGTTGGTCGCAGGTGCAGTGGGAGGTACTGTGTGGTTGGTGTCCCACCAGATAGTGCAAGGGAAGTTGGCAGAGCAAAGGGTCGCGATGCTGGACATGGCAGTGAAGAACGGCTTCAAAAACCTGATTGGTGAACTTGCAGGGTGAGTCTCCTGAACCATACCTTGCTGAAATGCAGGCCGCTGCTCCTGTGATGAGGCGGAGTGGCCAGCCATGGCCCTCTCAGCCATTCAGACATTGCTCCCTAGAGCTGCATGACGTCAGTCTTAGGGTTTAGGGTTTAGGGTTTAGGGTTTAGGGTTTAGGGTTTAGGGTTTAGGGTTTAGGGTTTAGGGTTTAGGGTTTAGGGTTTAGGGTTAGTCTTTGGCAGAAGTTCAGAGGCCGGCTGTCGAGTCACACGACGCAGGTTATGCAATCTGGCCGCTATCCTGTGGTGTACCAGCTGGTCGCTTAACCAGCACAGGTCATCATTGCAGAACTTGATTGACAGGGTAAAAAGAGAGATCGCTGAGGGAGGATGCCATCCATACGGTCTTTGCCATACGAAACCCTAAACCCTAAACCCTAAACCCTAAACCCTAAACCCTAAACCCTAAACCCTAAACCCTAAACCCTAAACCCTAAACCCTAAACCTTGCTGTGGGCTTTACAGTCATGCCACTAATTAGCGAGCCTACATCTTGGAGGAGCCCTAAACCCTAACATCTTGGAGGAGCATCCTGAATGGAAGATGAGACATTTGAAGGATGCAACGTGATATGGTGGTTTCCGAAATTCGGGTACCTCATTGGGGTGTTTTTTTGTAAGGAACCTTGTCACTCTTTGGGGTGTCTATATACTAGGGGCCCTTATTTTCGTAGATCCCCATATGCTATAGGAACATTGCGTATACTTATACGGGTGTCGCGTTTCCCATTCACTTAGTGTAGGGGCCTGAATAATTAGAGTAGGGTTTTGGGTGTGATCATGGTAAAATTACAAAGGGACCACAGGAACATTCTTAGTAATTATTCCGACCCCCCCCCCCCCCCTAAACCCTAACCCCTAAACCCTAACCCTAAACCCCTATATTAGTTGGAATGACGGAGCTCTTAAGTCAGGCGGGTGCTGGCGGACCTGCAACGTCGCCAGCAAGCCTCCGCGAAGGAGGCAGTAGCAAGACTGAGGGTTTGGGCTTTTTGGGTTTTGGGTCTAGGATTTTAGGTATGAGGGCTTTAGGGTTTTAGGGGTTTAGGATTGGAGGTTTGAGGGTCTATAGGGTTTAGGGTTTTTAGGGTTTAGGGTTTGAGGGTCGATAGGGTTTGAGGGTCTATACGGGTTTAGAGGTTCTCTACAGCTTGAGGGTGAAGATTTGGGGACAAATGGGGCTCGGAATTGCCGGTATACATGGTCTCGAGGTTCCCAAAGACTCCAGTACCCCTTGATTACGGACTATTCCTTAAACCACTTAAGGAACCCTCTTATATTTAAGGACTATTCCTTAATTAAGGGGTACTGGAGTTTCTGGGTTTGTTGTTTTCGATTGGTTGTTGGCATCCGCAGAGTCAAGTTCCTTTGCCTCCTGTTTAGGTCGGCCAGTCCCCGAGGAGCTCCACACGTAAGTACTTGGAAGTAGATAGCAGCCTTAAAACCAAAAGGGTACCCTTTCTATTCCTAGGCTACTCCTGGGTCTAGTCTAGGTGTGCGCCGACTAAGGGTCTTCGGTATGAATTGGTCCCGAGGTCTCTTGCCTTGGGACGGGTGAGCTCGTCCTTAGCTACTCTGGCTTCGGCTTCCATCCGCATGCTTTGATGCAGACGAAAGGCGATGTCGTCTGAGATGCAGCATGTCGTGATTGACGTGCACCTCTTGAGTGGCAAGAACGTTAGGCTGCAAGCCGAAGCACAAGAGACTGTTGATACACTGAGGCAACGCGCTCAGGGTGCCCTGGCGGTCGGCAGAGGAAGGCTGTTAAACTCCTCTGGCGATGCACTGGACGGAGCAGCAACTGTTGAACAGTCGGGGTTAGCAAGCGGAGACACGCTGACCCTGCAGTTACGGCCAGCTCACGTAACGGCGAATCGCAAGGGGTTAGTTTCTGAGTCCGCCTTTGCTGCTCTTCTGGGTGACGGATCAGTCGTGACCTGGGGCGATGCCACTTGCGGGGGCGACTGCAACGCCGTGAAGGATATGCTGAGGAATGTGCAGCACATCCAAGCTTCTGCCCGTGCTTTCGCTGCGCTGCGGGCGGATGGATCTGTGGTGACGTGGGGCAGTGGCTCTTGTGGGGGCGACAGCAGCACCGTGCAAGATCAGCTGAAGAACGTTCAGCAGATCCAGGCGTCCAGCAGCGCATTTGCTGCCATCCGGGAGGATGGATCTGTGGTGACCTGGGGTGATGCTAACGGTGGCGGCGATAGCGATGCCGTGCAGGGACAGCTGCGGCGCGTGAGGTGCATCCAAGCCTGCGCATCTGCCTTTGCAGCCATTCGGGAGGATGGATCTGTGGTGACTTGGGGTGATGCTGATTGTGGGGGTGACGGTGGCGCAGTGCAGAGTCAGCTTCGGAATGTGCAGCACATCCAAGCTTCTGAATGTGCTTTTGCTGCAATCCGGAAGGATGGATCTGTAGTGACCTGGGGCTATACTGGTGACAGCAGCGCCGTTCAAGCTCAGCTCAGGAACGTGTTGCACATCCAAGCTACCCACGCAGCTTTTGCTGCAATCCGGGAGGACGGGTCTGTGGTGACATGGGGCCCTTCTCTGTGTGGTGGCCTCAGCAGTGACTTGCAAGACAAACTGAAGAAAGTAAAGCAAATCCAAGCGTCTCCATCTGCTTTTGCTGCAATCCTGGAGGATGGATCTGTGGTGACCTGGGGCAGTGCTTACAGCGGGGGTGACAGCAGAGCTGTGCAATTCCAGCTGAGGGACGTGCTGCAAATCCAAGCTTCCGAACTTGCCTTTGCTGCTATCCGAACAGATGGCTCTGTGGTGACATGGGGCGATGCGCGTGGCGGAGGTGACAGCAGTACTGCGCAACATCAGATGACGAATGTGCGTCATATCCAAGCCTCTGCATCTGCCTTTGCTGCCACCTGTGGGGATGGATCCGTGGTGACCTGGGGTGGAGCTGACTCTGGGGGCGACAGCAGCGCCGTGCAAGGTCAGCTGCAGAACGTGCTGCACGTCCAAGCTTCAGGGAAGTCTTTTGCTGCAATCCTTGACGATGGATCTGTGGTGAGCTGGGGCAGTGGCAAATGCAGTGCTCTGTGTGTGTTGTGGCTCTTGTATATATATATATATATATATATATGTAAAAAAGTATATATATATATATGTAGCATAGATAGAGTTTCCTCTTGTCTTCCACTGGCATCTGGCAACCATGAATCTACTCCTATGTCGTGTGGACAGCCTTCACCAAGGGGTCAGGGCCCCTCGGAGTTCGAAAGCCGAGCATTCGGACAGTGCTTGCAAGTCATGAGCCCCAAACCCTAAACCCTGCCTCAGAAAAATACCCCTATGATGCCAAACCCTAAACCCTAACACAGTCTAAACCCCCAAGCCAGGCAGGGATGTCGCTTGTTTAGGGTTTTGGGGTTTAGGGTTTAGGGTTTAGGGTTTAGGGTTTAGGGTTTAGGGCCTAGGGTTATCTTTGAAAGAGCACCCTTTAAGCAACACTGGACAACCCAAAAGGGGGCCTCATTCAGAAGAACCTCGTTCTGGCTGGCGAGTGGTGTTGTGGTGTTGCGGTGTCCGACCTGCAGTGCGGAGGAACATGTATGGTATACATGCATATATGTAGTTAGATCGATCGACCGATAGATGGATAGATAGGTCTTCTTCTAGCACTAGCGTGATACCCAATAGCCACAAACCCTAAACCCTTCAACGTTCGGACCCTAAACCCTAAACCCTAAACCCTAAACCCGAAACCCTAAACAGCCCAAAAAACTCTCATCGCGAAGACAGGAGCCAACGGGCCGGCTGGGCATCCGCCGCACGGCATGCTGGCAGCGAGAAAAGCTTGAGCAACCCTAAACCCTAAACCCTAAACCCTAAACCCTAAACCCTTCAGAGAGACTTCGGGTTTAGTGCTGAAGGGTTTGAAGGGTTTGGGGTTTAGGGTATGTTTAAGGCTTTGGCTTGGTCGTGTCTATAGGATTAAGAAGAGTATATATAAGTTTAGGGTTTAGGGTTTAGGGTTTAGGGTTTAGGGTATATATATATATATATATATATATATATAAGTTTAGGGTTTTTTGTCCCCACAGGGTTTTGCACTTTTCAGTCTGAGGGCTTGTGTCGGCCTTCAACCCTAAACCCTAAACCCTATACCCTATACCCTAAACCCTAAACCCGATATCCTAAACCCTAGGCCCTAAACCCTAAACCAACCCCTTTGTGGGCCCCGGAACTTCTGAGGGTCGGTATACATGATCCCTCAATGTGGTCCCTTAGCTTCTTGAAAAGGTTCCCTTGGGTTTTGTAGCAGAATACGGGATATGTAAGGGGTCCCCATTTAAAGGGCCCATGCTAAGGGACCATGGAACTACCCGAAGCCCCGAAGAGAAGTGAAGAAGCGCTTGCGCAAAGAGGTTGTTCAAAAGGCCCTAAACCCTAAACCCTAAACCCTAAACCCTAAACCCTAAACCCTAAACCCTAAACCCTAAGGGGACCCGGGATGGCTCATTAATACGAGTTCCCCCCCTCAACGGGGGATTCTTTACCCATCATGGGCCGTTTGTGCCTAAGACCTAAACCCGGGCTTGCCGGTTGGGGGTTTCAGGGCTTAAGATTTCCCTAAACCCTAAACCCTAAACCCTAAACCCTAAACCCCGAACCCTAAACCCTAAACCCTAAAACGTTTAAGTTCGGTAGGCGACCGGCTGAGCAGCTCAGGGTCTGCGGCTTCACAGCCCTGCAGGGTTCTACTCAAAAAACTTCAATGGTACTATGTACGTGTCCATGTGCTCTGTAGTGTTTCTAGGTACATGCGAATATATCATGATGATAACATAAATACATATATGTACAAGCCCGATTCAGGCCCCACGCCCCTAAAGCCCACCCTTCACGAGTTTTGAGCCTGTCTGAACCCCTGTCTAAACCCCAATCATGAACCATAAACCCCTACACCCTCAGCCCGACCCTAAACCCTAAACCCTAAACCCTAATGTCTCCACCGACACCTTCGGGCTCAGGATCCCGCCGTTCTCTGCATAGCGAGTCGGCTGGGTTTTGCTTTTGAGGGTCGGCGACTCTTGCGGATCACCGCGAATCAGCCACCCTTAACCACGCCTCAGCTACGAGCTAAGCTCAGCCTCAGAAGGAGGGTTATTGGGGGGGGGTTTATAGGGTTTAGGGCTTAGGGACTGACACTCTCACACACAACTGCCACCATGCAGCGCTCTTCAGCAAAGCAAGCTTTGACAATCACCTTAAGAAGTTGTCATAATGAAGTGCCGCAGCGAGCACCCGGCCCCCAGCCCAACTGGGCGTGCTTATGGCATGTGAGACTACTGTGTTACCAGGTCTAGTGCAGGGTGCTGAGCCCCTAAACCCTAAACCCTAAACGCTGAAACATCACGCCATGGCTGCGGAAAGCTCCCCAAGGGACGCTCTCATGGTGGAAGAGGATCCGAGTTGTAGGTTTAGGGCTGGCAGGGTTTAGGGCTTAGGGCTTAGGGCTTAGGGTTTAGGGTTTAGGGCTTAGGGTTTAGGGTTTAGGGTTTAGGGTTGGAGCCCTGAACTCTGCAAACCTTGAAAAACCTAGACCCTACACCCGAAACCCTAATCATCAGTTTCGGGATCCGGTTACATGTGCTTTTGAGGGGGTCAACTTTTGAACCTCAGCATTTCAGTACTGGCAGGCGTGAGGACTTCAAGCTTTCAGTGTTTCAGTTTGTTTTGCAATCTTTTGGGGGTCTTCTGGTGTTTGAAGCAAAAGGTGTGCCGAAATAGGTTTCGCTCTTATCCCTCTATAACTTGGGAATTTCTTCCCCCTTATACTAACAGTCTTCAGTAGGGATTATAGCCCCCCCCTAGTACAATCCCGATGAGGGACTGCAAGTATCAGGGGGGCACATCCCGATCTATAGCCCGTATATGGCTATGGTATACTGAGCAGCGCCCCTCCAAACAAAGCCTGTGTTTAGGGTTTAGGGTTTAGGGTTTAGGGTTTAGGGTTTAGAGGGTCGAGCTCTAGGCCACTGAGTTGCAAGTTGCTCAGAATTCGAACCACAGCGCACCTCCAAACAAAGCCTGTGAACCCTAGAGCCTTTGCAGTCGTACTTGTCGGACTTGCTGTGTGTCACTAGGTCACTACGCGACTCTGTTCTTCTTGTGATTGTTAGCATCTTTACGTTTCTGCTGTTTGCTTAAGAGCCCACAAAGAATAAAAATGAAACATCCCCCAAAAAGTAAAAATGAAACATCCCCTTATGACCCTTCTTTGGAAGAACATTTTGTATGTTTCGGGGGTTCGTAAGCAAACAGTTTCAGCCCGGTGGTCCCCTTTTCCTTTAACCCCTAAACCCTAAACCCTAAACCCTAAACCCTAAACCCTAAACCCTAAACCCTAAACCCTAAACCCCGAAAAGCCCTAAACCCCTGAGCCCTATCCATTCCCTCCATGCCGCCGGGAGGAGCCGGTCGAACCCCCACCCAGTTCCAATCCCGTCCTCCCCAGGCGCTTCGACACATGGGGGGGGTTTGCGATATGAGGGTTTAGGGTTTAAGGTTTAGGGTTTAGGGTTTAGGGTTTAGGGTTTAGGGTTTAGGGTTTAGGGTTTAGGGTTTGGGGTTTAGGGTTTAGGGTTTAGGGTTTAGGGGTACCCTTTTAGGGGGTTCCTATAAGAAGGATTATAGTATTTTGGGGTATATTGAGGGTACCCCTATCTTGAGAAATATTCATATGCTTTACGGTTGGGCTTGGTTTTAGAGATTTAAGGTCGACTAAACCATCAGATCATTCGCTTTGAGGAACAGGGACTGAGTTTTTTGATTTGCTTTTTGGGAAGATCTTGGGAGTTGCGACGGGTCTTGGCTGGCTTGAGGTTTTAAGGCTTTCGGGCTTATGGTGGATTTAGGGTTTTTAGGGCTTATGGTGTTGTTCAGCTTTTAGGGGTTTGGGGTCCAGTCTGGATTGAATGTTCAGGTGTTTATTTCCCAGGGCTTCTGGATGGCCTGGGGAGTCAATGCACTTCGTACCCTAAACCCTCAACCCTAAACCCTAAACCCTAAACCCCTCAGGTCTTGTGGCTTTCATTTGAGGGGGGGGCCTCCCTAGGAGTCAGGACCCTGAGGGCGGCACTAACGAGGCGTTGCCTCGGATGAGCACCTGCCTCCCGGCCTTCCCCTCCGCCGCAAGAGTGACAGTGCCTGAGGACTTGCCTCCTTTTCGTGTTCTGTGGGTATTGCTGACCCTTTACAATTTGCGGCCGCTGCAGTATTCTCAGTTCACGCCTGTTGTCCTTGGACTTCTCTGGCTCCTGAACCCATGTGATTCTCCCTTGCATGCTCTCGGCTCTCCCACTCTCTTGGGGACCTCTGTGAAAAGTCTTGACGGGATTCTTGCTTCACAGCCGCTTCCTTTTTTTTTTTGCCCGCCATTATTCGCCAGGGAGAATATATGCGTGCGCTGCGGACCACGTCCCACGGGTTGCGTGCGCTGCTAGCCACGTCCCCTCCTGGAGAGCGCGTGCGCCGCATGCCACGTCCCGCGGGGTGCGTGTGTCGCATGCCACGTTCATTCTTTAAGAGTTTAATTTTTTTTGTTGCTTCCTTCTTTCGGTCCACTTTCGCGTTGCGAATGTGCGTTGGCTCTCCTTTTGAAATCCCTGCTGTTCTCTTCTTCTCGCCTGTCATGTGGTTTCAGGAGGGAATGCGTGCGCTGTGGACCACGTCCTACGGGTTGCGTGCGCTGCTAGCCACGTCCCCTCCTGGGGAGCGCGTGTGCTGCATGCCACGTCCCGTGGGGTGCGTGCGTCGCGTGCCACGTCCATTTTTTTTGTTTCTTCTGTTTTTTTTTCTCCCTCTTTTCTTTCCCTCTCCCGGTCATAAGCTTTCGCATTTGAGCGAACTGGCATTGGCTCATCCTAGCCATAGTGTATTGCATGCTTTGCTGCGGCAGTGAAAGGGGAGGTAGCCAAGTGATGGGGCCGCGGCTTTAAGCTAGTCAACCATTTACTTGGCTGCCTCTCCCCTGGCTTCTTGCTGGGTTGGTCGTATGATGATAGTTGTGCAGGGGGTGGGGCCGCGGCCTTGTGCCATCCTCCCCTGTCACATTCGGTTTGGGGAAGGTTGGCGGGCGCCGGGGCCGCGGCTTCGTGCCAGTCAACCGGTCGCCCGCCTTCCTCTCCCTGCGTGGTGCACTTGCAGTCTTGGGGGTGGGGCCGCGGCCCTGTGCTAGTCAACCGCCCCCTAGTGGCCCTAGTGGCCAGGCAGTCCGAGCTGCGCTTGCAGCTAATGCCCATGTGACGGTCGATTTGCTTGTTCAGTTTCTCGGTTCAACATGCCACCTCTGTCTCCCTTCCGCCTTGTGTTTTGAGCTCCGCCCCTTGTCCAGATGTTTGTGCCCGCCTGGGTCCTTCATGAGCGGCTGTGCGGTTGGGCGATTGCGTGGTTGCGCGGTTGTGCTGGTGTCCGGTTGTGCGGTCGTGCGCAAGTGCAGTGGTGCGCTTGTGCAGTAGCGCGGTTGCGTAGTTGGGCGGCTGTGCTTGTGCGGCTGTACAAGTGTGTGGTGGTGCGGTTTGAGGTTGTGCAGATGTGCGAAGGCCGGTGCAAGGTTGCGCGGTTTAAGTTGTGCGGTTGTGCGGCTGTGGTTGTGCGTTGGTGCCTTCTGTGTTTGCGTGGCGGATGGCCCCGGCCCCGGGTCGCCAGTGGCGCCTCCCTAGGGTGCCGACAGCCTTGCTAGTCTGTCATTGGCTGTTGGCGTCTCTTTGGCTGCTCCCCGGAGCTTCCCCGCTCCTGCAGCCTTGTTATTGCCCGGTCCTGCATCACTAAGCGGTTTTCACACACGTGCGTGCTTCCCCGTTGAACCCGGTTGCTCCCCGGCGCCGCCCGGTGCGCCTGCAACCTGTGCTGCATCAACCTGGCGAGCTACTGCAGAGGGCCACTTCCCTTCTCTACCGAAAGTGTAGTCCTAGCTCGTGTGCTTGCCCAGTGGGGCTTCGGTTTTCCCTTTTTCCGGTTGTTTTTCAGGGTTCTCCCTCCTTACTTGGCAAGGGTTTGCCCTGCTTGACCCCCTGTCCCCAGCTGCTCCCCGGCTCCTCCCCGCCTTCAGCCTTGGTGCCCCCCTTGTGACTACCGTTGTTTGTCTGATTGCCTCTGTTGGCTGCTCCCCGGCGATACCAAGCGCCTGCAGCCTTGGCCGCAATCGGGCCTGCTTCTACATCGAGCGGGAATTACCATATTCGCTCTCGTGGTCCCCGTTGACCGGTTGCCCGGTGCACCTGCAACCTGTACACTGTTTCAGCTCGGCGTCCCCCGTCCCCTGACAGTCTCTGTCGGTTGTGGGTCGTCGCAGTCATTTATACACTGGTGTTAAGTGAGGGCGTCGAGTTTGGATCTCGTTCACCGCCAAGTTGCGTTGCAGTGGGTTCCCCTCTTTTCTTGTCCTGCTGGCTTCCCCGCTGCCCCCGGTTGCCCCCGGCGCCTCCGGTGCGCCTGCAGCCTTTGCCAGCTTTGGTGTCTCCTGTTACACGACTCTGCAACGTGTGTGGGAGTTTTTACAGCAAGGTGCCAAATACCTAATCAGGCCATCAGATCCCTGTTGCAGGCCCCGTCACATGTTGCTGTCCAAGCACGGGCCCGGAGCCCCTTGGTCTGTGCAGGCTCCCTGTCGCAGCTCAGGGTTTGCGTCCCTTGGAGCAAGGTGTCCCTTCCTGCCCAGGCCTGGCTTACTTAGTGTCTATGGTGTGCCATCCGGTGTTCTGCCTGCATGTCTGCGGCGTGTGCGCTGCGTCAGCTCTCCCCTTCCCGTGTTCGTGATGGGCGCGGCATCGTTCCTTTTTCTTTTTTTTTTATCTCTTTTTTCTCCGCCTCCCCCTTCGGGTTGGTGCGGTGGGTTCTTGGTGTCCTGTGCTCGTGCCCTGATTGGTTCAGTCGTCTCCCGTGCCTTGGTCTGCACTATGACTAAACCCCCTCTTGAACTCTCCGCGGAGGGCGGCGATGACGCCTGCGGAGCCGCCCCGAGATGTGGGGGGGGAAGAGTGCGGGCGGCTGCAGCAATAATAACGCTGCTAGCCATTCTCCCTCCCTCCCTCCTCCTAAACCCTAAACCCTAAACGTCAACTTACATCTACCATTCTGGGCAGCTGAGCCCCAGTGCATTTCAGCTTTGGGTGACCCTTGTACGGAAAACATATTAATATGCGCGGCTGAGTACCCTAAACCCTGAGCCCTGAACCCTAAACCCTCAATCCCAAACCCTAAGCCCAGAGGATGCTGGTTTGGCGCTTCAGCAGATGCACCAAACCCTAAACCTTATGCCCGAACCCAAACCCTGTGCCCTATAAACCCTTTGAGGTTTAGGGTTTAGGGTTTAGGGTTTAGGGTATGGCTCCTTCTACATCTTGAGTAGGAGTCCTACTTCTTATTCTAGATATAGCTCTGAACGCCATTGGCATGTGCTTTGAATCGCTTCCCCCTCCCCCCGCCTGGCACAAAACCAAAAGAAACAGCCCAGATGAGTGGTGTTTCCCGTAGGACGCTTGGAGGTCTTTGTTGCGAAGGGTTTAGGGCTTAAGGGCTTTTTCACCAAACAAAAAAACCCTAAAACCTAAAACCCCAAACCCTAAACCCTAGACCCTAGACCCTAAACCCTAAACCCTACACCCTAAACCCTAAACCCTAAACGTCGGCTTGAGTGCCAGGCCAGGCCACCTTTGGCCGAACCAGGACTCTCGCGGCATTTGGGCTTTTGGGCCTCTGGCAAGCCTAAAGCTTGCGGTGTAGGGTTTAGGGTTTAGGGTTTAGGGTTTATAAGGTTTAGGGTTTAGGGTTTAGGGTTTAGATGTCTTATGTCTAGCTTCCCGGACCCTTCACACTCCCAGTAAAGCCAAGACCGAAGCAAACTCTTCTACTAGTGGTAGGTTTAAGTCGACCCTGCCGGGGTGAAGTCGTGCCAAGCCTGCCGCAGGGCTTGGGCCTACTTTCCCATATCCCCAACATATCTTATATTTCATCAGGCCCAGAGTTTTGCGGTCTTATAGTACATGGTTTTGGAACATTTCCGGATCGTTGTTTGTGCTGTATCCCCGAAGCTTCCGATGCATGAAACCATTGCAAGCATTCCCCGCAAGGCGGAAGTTGTCCCAATCCCAGTGTGCCCCTCGGGGAACGCTGTAAAAACCGCGATACCATGTCACATGGGCTATGTTCTCAGATGGCTTGTGTGGGGCGTGCCACTAGGTAAAGACGACAAACCATGAAGCAGAAGCTCAAAAAACAATCGGCGCGACTTACAACCTTTGCCGATGTGTTGGCGTCCCTGAGGAGGCTTTTTCGGCCTCAGAGCCCTATAGAACTTAGGATGTTCCTCTGTGGCAGCAACCGTTGCCACACACAGGGAGCCACCGTGATTACAGCCTTGCCCTGCTTGGCGTCGCTGACGTGCTGCAGTGGGGAGGACCCCCTGTAAGGGAGGCTGCCCAGAACCCTAACACAGAGGGCCTCGCCTCTCAGAGACGCGGGGGCCTCCCAAGGGGCCTCCCAAGAGTGTCCCGAGGCCTCCAGGCCCAGGTATTGTTCTTTATCTCAAAAGGCCAGATTGCCTTACCTCCCCCTGCCTCGCCCAAAGTCGCGCGACCCTCGCGCAGGGCCACAAATATGACACTCCCCAAAACAATTAATGAATTTCCTTCACACTGCATGCGAAGTTGCTCAGCAGGGGCGAATGGGGGGAAGTCCCTCGGATCAAAGTTGCCCAGCAGGGGCGAACGGGGGGAAATCCATCGGATCAAAGTTGCTCAGCAGGGGGGAAATCCATCGGATCAAAGTTGCTCAGCAGGGGGAAATCCATCGGATCAAAGTTTCCAAGCAGGGGTGAAATCCATCGGATCAAAGTTGCTCAGCCGGGGCGAGAATCATGCAGAAGCATGCTTACCAACCCATGCTTGCCAACCCTGCAATGGCCGTAAAACCATCCGAAAAACCATGTGCCCCTGCAGTTTCTCAATTCCAAACAGCTTTTCTCAACCCACTGTGCACAGCTCCGGTGCCATTTTGTAAAAAGGCGCGAAAGCTCTCAAAAGCCATGTGCCCCTGGGGTTTCGCTGTTGCTGGGCCGACTTTACACCGCCTGGGGTGACTTCCTTCCTCTGCCTTGTTTTGCTGTGGGCCGCAGGGGTTGGGCCGACTTTACACCGGGTGGGTCGAGATAAACCCGGCGCTTGTACCCACGAGCCCATGAGCCCTAAACGCCCCACGCTGTAAACCCTAAACCCTAAACTGCCTGGCATGATACTAGTACCAGGACCTTGGCCCCCTGACGCCCGGTGATGGAGGCCCCTGATGTTTCTGGCTGTGAGACTGAACTCTGAAGCTCTAAAGCCCGTTAGGGTTTAGGCTTCAGGGTTACCTACTGCAGCCCTTAACCTTCAAATGCCCGCGAGATCAAAAAACCTGACACTTCAGTTTTCCGGGTTTCAGGGTCTCGGCTGAGGGGCCTTTCAGAACCTGCCCTGCCATATCACAAGGTGCTTTTGTAGCTCGAGACGACTGGCAGGATTCTCACCTTTGATGGGCAGTACATGGATGTTTCCCAAAATAGGGTTTAGGGTTTAGGGGTTCCCCTTTTATCCCCCAAACAGAATGGAATCCACTTAACGGGATCCCCAGAAAGGGTACCCCTCGTTTCGGAAACCCCCACACGCTGGCGGACTTGGGTTTTCCTGATGCCGCTTTGTCTCGACCGAGACATGAAGGACATGAAGTTCCTCAATCCCACGACCCTAAACTCCAAACTCTCTAACCCAGAGGGTCCATTTGTAGTACCATTATGGAATTAGGTACTCCAAAGCCCTATGTAACATTTTTTGGGGTACCTAAATCCAGAATAGTACTATGACCCTCTGGGTATGCTCCCTAACCCTAAACCCTAAACCCTCCAAGCTCTCAACCCCAGACGAGCAGCAGGTGCTAGCGTAAGTGTGGAGGCGATCCATGCCATGCTCCATGAAGTCCGGCGAGATGTGCCCTGGGTGGGATTTGGGGTTTGGGGTTTAGGGTTTAGGGTTTGGGGTTTAGGGTTTAGGGTTTTTCTGGTTTGGGGTTTATGGTTTGGGGTTCGGGGTCCGGGGTTCGGGGATTGGGGGCCTTATAATCGAGGTTCCGGGCCCCTGGCCTTACGCAGGCCTGGCCCCTGGGCCCTTGAGGCCTGAGGCGTGGGAATCTAAGGCCCCAAAGCCCTACACCCCAGAAAGCCCACCACATCAGCCCCAACCCTTAAACCCCCAACTCCTCAACCCTTACCTCCCCAACGTCCTGAACCCCTGAGCGCCGAAACCCCCAAACCCCAAAGCCCCCCAACGCGAACCCCCCCGCGCAACCCCACAACCCTTAAACTCTAAACCTCCTTTAACCCTTCACCCCGACACCCTGAAACACTCTATACCCTAAACCCTAAACCCTACATACCCTAAACTGCGAAGACCACAGACTCGGCGGTGAGCCGAGTTTTGGGACAAGCGGGTTGAGGGCTTGGACCCACCAAAAAGCTACAGGTAAGTCATCAACCCTAAACCCTCAACCCTCAAGTCTAGACATACCCTACACCCTAATCACTGAAGCCCTGGACTGCTGCATGCCTGTGGGCATTGCATTCGGAGCCTAGTCTAGGTTGGTTTTCAGGTTAGGGTTTATGTAGGGTTACTCCCGCCCTTGAGAAACCCTCCTGAAAGCCTGAAGTTCTGCAGGCGCAAGTCGCAAGCCTGAAGGCTAGCATGAACCCAAGCCACTGAGCAGTGTAATACACGAGCCTAAACAAGCATCACCAGCATCATCCCCTTATAATCCCTATACAACGATTGTAGAACCCACTGCCCACAAGAGCTAACTACCCACTGCCCACAAGAGCCATTCTTAAACCCTAAACCCTAAACCCTAAACCCTAAACCCTAAACCCTAAACCTAAACCCTTAGGTGCTTCTCGAGCTCAAGGGACAGCAAGAGGCCCCATTGTTGCGGGGTTGTGAGCTTTGGGTGGGGAAATTGTTGGTGTCTCTAGGTTGGCATGTTCCCCCTTCTACTGACAGTCCTTACTGGGGACTGCAATAGGGGGTATTAGAATCCCTATTTAGGACTGCTAGCACAAGGGGGACCATCCCAATCTATGGGTTTTGGGAGATGTTGGGAAGACATGAGTTTGTTTTTGATAAATTCAGGGTTAGGCAAAGGACAACATGGGGTTTGGAGCTGAAGATTGAGGATGGCAAGGTTTAGGACGAGGTTTGGAACTGAAGATTGAGGATGTTAGGGTTTGGGGTTTAGGGTTAAGGGTTCAGGGTGAAGGGTCTAGTCTACGAGCTTCGCGGATTGAGGTTTAGGCTTAGGCTGCAAGGTTGGCTTCACTAGGGTTTGGGGCTTAGGGTTTAGGGTTTAGGGTTTAGGTTTAGGGTTTAGGGTTTAGGGTTTAGGGTATCAGTTTGGTATTGAGACCCCTTCGGAGATCTGGATTGATGGTTCTCCGTTGGGGTCGGAGATGTTTTTGGTTTCTGGTTGCTGCGGAAATTGGCGCCTCGATGCATGTGTTTCATCTTGAGAATCATGAGTTTTTCTTTCCGGGAGTCTCCAGACAGTAGAGAAGGAGAGGCTATGTCTCTAGGGACAATTACCCATGTATTGTCAGTTAACAGGAATCCTAAACCCTAAACCCTAAAGCTCTGAACCCTTGATTTGGACACCTTGTCCTATGCAGGCGATCAAGGAGATTCTGGGCAGGCAGGGGAGGAACCCCTAAACCCTGAACCCTGAACCTTAAACTCTAAACCCTAAGATCTAAACCCTGACCCTAAACCCTAAGCCCTAGACCCTAGACCCTAAACCCTAAACCCTAAACCCCAAACCCTAAACCCTAAACCCTACACCCTAAACCCTAAAACCCTAAACCCTAAACCCTAAACCCTAAACCCTAAACCCTAAACCCTAAACCCTAAACCCTAAAGCCTAAAGCCTAAACCCAAACCCCCCCCCCCCCCTAGCAGCCCCCTAACACCTCATAGTGTGGGACGAAGCCCCCTTTCTACTTCAAGGGTTGAAGACTTGTACCCCTAAGGTTGTATCCCCAAAGGCTCCCCTTAATCTACTCCGAAAATGGCCCTGATATTCCCTTAGGACCCCAAACCCAAGGGTACAACCTTAAGGGTCCAATTTTTGCGTCAGGGTAAGGGTACTCAGTCCTTGTTTTCTAAGGTGCTTTGGGCGCTTTCTGTGTGCGCTTTGAACCTTTGTCTGTGCTCCGGGGTTCATTGCTCAATGTACATACACATATATATATATATATACATATACACACTTTATACACAATAACAAGATGTGACATAGAAGAATGTTCTGTCATTCAACACCAAACAATATCAAATAACATAGTCGTATCATACCATTGAAAAATCGACACAACGCTATACCACCAGGCCCTCATAATTGGGGTACTGGACCCTGACGGACACAATAATTACTACTATTGCTTCAGAACCTCCCAAACAAATATATATATATATATATATGTATATATATATATATATGTCACTCAATATTGCCCTTACAAGGAAGAATGGTGTTTCATGCTTCTGGGGGGGGGCTCTGAAGCAATTAGCAGTATACTCTAAACCCTAAACCCTAAAGTTTAAACAAACAGGTCCAGGGAAGTATGGGGTAACAGAGGAAGCTTTGGGGGTCACCTAAAGGGCAGGCGCCAGAAGCCGTGAAGGCCCGTTTTCCTGACACTCTTCATCTCCCTTCTGAAACATGATACGAAGTAGCGCCCCCCCCTCTCCATCCCCGTCCCGCAACCCCACAGCTGCCGCGGTCACTTCGGGTGGGGAGTGCAGTTCGATTTTGAATTCTAGGAGATGACTTGGGGGTTTCCGAAAGCAGGGCTACCCTTTTCCGGGGGTCCGTTTCAGGGGATTCTACTCTACTTGGGGCATGAAACGGGTACCCTTATTTTGGGAAATTCCCACTTGAACCTCTACAACTGCCCTAACCCTAAACCCTAAACCCTCAACCCTAAACAATATGCCTGAGCGAGGCTTCCTTTGCCCAACGCCGCTTTGTCAACGCCTGCACGCGGCTTCCGCATTTCCGTGAAGTCACAGCAGCCCAACTATGAGAAAACCGGACAGGAGAGCCTGTCGGGCGTTTAGGGTTTAGGGTTTAGGGTTCAGGGTTCAGGGTTCAGGGTTTAGGGTTTAGGGTTTAATTAGGGTCATATGTGCTCCTGGAACCCCACTTGGAGGTTCAGGGTCCTTCTTCAACCCCCCAATTAGGGTTTAGGGTTTAGGGTTTAGGGTTTAGGGTGTGTCAGGGGAGGGCGTTCGCTCGGGTGTGAAGCACCCCGGGCCGCGCGCTCGCGTTGCCCGTCAACCCACCCCGGCCGCCCACACTATACTCTATTAGGGTTTAGGGTTTATGAAATGTATTTTCTTGTGCCCCGATGCTGCTTTTATGTTTTTAAAGTTGCGGTGTTAGGGTTTAAGCTGGGGTTGGGGGTAGCCTCGGCCCTTTTCGGGCCTTCGGCGTGTCAGGGCCCGTAGAGGCCCTTATTTATTTGAAGGTCACGGAAACTTTTGAAGTCTTTTGGTGGCTCTTGGGGTCTTTGCGGGCTTGCTGGGGCTTGCTGGGGCTTTCCTAACCCTTTTGGAGCAAAATGCAGGGGTGCCCAAAACCATCGTTCTTAGTCTAAAAAATCGCATTTTTCATTGCGGGCACGGGCAAATCCTCGGAGCCCCTCCTTTAGAGGGCCTTTTGAAGCCTTTTGGTGGCTCTTGGTGCCTCTTTGGGGGGGCCTTGTGGGGTAATCGATTTCAGTACTAAAAAAATAGCATTTTTCATTGCGGGTACGGGCAAATCCTGGGGTCCGCTTTCTCCACTTTCTGGGTTGGTTCGAGCCTTTGGGGGCGTGCCGGCGCTTGGTAAAGAGTCTCCCAGACCGGCCAGACGGGGGCCTCGGCGGACGCCCGGGAGAGGCCCCCAGGCCCTGAGGCCTGGAAAGGGAGGGGCCAAAAATCCATCAAACCCCGAAATTGAGCAACCAGCCTGCCTGGACCCCCTCGCCAGCCTCCTGGTCCAGGAATTCAGCCACAAGGGGCCAGGGGGCCCCTGCCCGGCAAACCCTGAACCCAAAACCCTGAACCAGAGGAAAAGGGTTACGATTGGGGTTATACTTTAGCTACACTAAAGGTGGTCTGGGTGCCGGCTATCCCTTAGCCGAGTACTGACGTTGTCGGAAAAAAGGCCGATGTCCGTTGGCCTGTCCAGGACAGACGGTGAGGCTTAACCCTCACCTTTCCGTTTCTCTTTTCGCTTGGGCGCTCGGGCTGTAAGGCCCTCGGCCGAGCGTTCGGGGTCTGTCGCTCGACGGAAGCGACCCCTCACTTAGTTTAGGGTTTAGGGTTTAGGGTTTTGGGTTTTGGGTTTAGGGTTTAGGGTTTAGGGGCCCCCTAAGTCCCCTAAGTCCTCTAACTAGGTTATAAGTAGACTTATAATTGGGGTTATATGTACCCATGAACCTCCAAGCGCAAGCCGAAAGGCCAAAGGTGGGTTCCGGACTGAGAGTCATCTAGTTTGTCGCATTTCTGGGTTTGTGAGATTCGTTGTTTCAGGACTTCCAGGTATTCCGGGGGGAGAAGGGGGTGGGGGGGGGGGGGGGGGCGGAGGGAGGGAAGGGTTGCGGCTTCTAAACCCTAATCCCTAAGCCCTAAACCCTGAACCCTAAACCCTAAACCGAAAAAACCCTAAACCCTAAACCCTTGTCGTGGTGTTGCAGGAGAGCACTCAAATGGACAGTGGCAGCTTCTCACGGGTGGCCTCTCAGCGTTTTGAGCCTGGGGTTTCAAGGGACTAAGACTCTGCCCCTAAGGTTGCACCCCTGAAGGTTTCCCTGAATGTATTCCTAATATGGCCTTTGTATTTCTCCCCCCCCCCCTAAACTTCCTAATATGGCCTTTGTATTTCTTACCCCCTAAACCCAAAACCCTAGACCCTCAACCCTAAGCCCTAAACCCTAATAAACCCTAAACCCTAAACCCAAGAATGCAACCTTACGGGTCCAAGGTACAACCCCATGAGGGTTGGGGTCCATGATGCGGAGACTCCTTCAAGCTAACTTGATGTCGGGCTTAGGGTTTAGGGGGTAGGGTTTAGGGTTTCGGGCTCAGGGTGCATCAGAATATCATATTCTGAGCGAGAGTGACAGCTGCAACTGTTGGCGATCTGATTCCGTGGATGCGAAGGAGGGGTTGAACATGGCAGGTTTAGGGTTTAGGGTTCAGGGTTTAGGGTTTAGGGTTTAGGGTTTAGGGTTTCTCCACGGAAGAGTCTCTCGCTAACTGGCGTAAACTCGGCGCAAGCGGTGTTTGCTTCAATACATTTGCGAGTGTTAGTAGTTGACATTAGTAGTTGAGAGGCAGCTATTCAGGTACGTTTGCGTGTTCTGTGGCAAAAGAATCTTTCGGGTCTGGGACACTTAGCACTCTTTGGGGACCAAATGATCCCTAAAAGGGTTTGGATTCATTTTCCTTAATAGGAAAAGGCACTGCATACCTTAATAGGAATTAGATACCTTAGTAGGAATTATAGATACCTTAAAAGGAATTATAGTAGTATCGGGTTATATGACCCTAATTTTCGGGTTCATGTGGTCCCCAAGGTCTTTACAAAACCAATTGGGCCTAGCTTTTGGGGAGCGGGGTCCCAACCCTTCCTTAGGGTAGCTACATGGTCCCTTAGTATGGGGCCCTTAAATCGGGAAGGTTTAGGGTTTAGGGTTTAGGGTTTCGGGTTCCTCCCCTTATATATACCCTATACAACCCAAAAATCCCATGCGAACTACCCTTGGAGCCCCCAAAACCCTAAAGCCCAAACTCTAAACTCTAAACTCTAAACCCTAAACCCTAAACCCTAAACCCTAAACCCTAAACCCTAAACCCTAAACCTTGCAAAGCTTTCCCTCCGCCTTCCGAAGCCGAACTCAGACGCCGAAGGCCTCGCCGACTGAGGCGCTGGGACGCGTGCACTCCAACAGGACCGGCAAAGCTTGTCAGGTTTGCAGATAACTAAACCCTAAACCCTAAACCCTAAGCCCATAAATAAATAAAATGAACCCATATAAACCCTAAGCCCTAAATCCTAAACACCCACCCTAGGGAGTTATAGCACTTGTTGGGGTTGAGGCTTGATTGGCCTCGAAGGGCTCTGCTCTATCAGGGCCTTGAAGCCTTCGAGGATTCGGGATCATGCAGGTCATGCCAGGCGGCTGACCCACCACCCGCACCGACAGTTTAGCGCTTCGGGTTTACGATGTAGGGTTAGGGGTTAAGGGTCTGTGTTTTCTTTATGGCGCTGGTTGTGTGTTTCGAACGTGCTGCTCCTGCACTTGTGGCGGACGGTTCGTTGAAGATGCCCTTGCCAAACTCGCACAATAGGCGAAATTCCTATTAAAATACAGAGAAAATTAGAGGTTTAAAATATACAGAAAACATGACAACAACACGCCCCCGCACCCGCAGCAAAAACACGCCCCTGCCGCACCCACAGCAAAAAAAGGCACCAGCAGCAAAAAAAAAAAAGCGCCTCCGCACCCGCAGCAAAAGAAAGCACGCGCCCCCGCACCCGCAGCAAAAAACGCGCGCCCCGCACCCGCAACAAGAAAGCACCCGCAACAAAAACAAGACATTCTTAATTACCCCGTTTAGGGTTTGTAGGGTTTGGGGTCTGGAGTGTAATTCGGGGCTTCGCCATTGGGGTTTGGGGTCGTGCGCAGGTCGAGTGACAGGAACAGCGTCGGCGACGGCAGTCGGAGCAGAGGGAGCAAAAGAGGCAAACAGAATTTGTTTAGCATCCTGGGTCGCAAGATCAGTGCTCAGTGCCCCTAACCGCAGTTTAGGGTTTAGGGTTTATGGGTTTTAGGGTTTAGGGTTTAGGGCTTAGGGCTTAGGGCTTAGGGCTTAGGGTTTAGGGTTTAGAACCCCATTTAGACCGTCTTTAGGCCCTATTCCCGAAGCTCATAAAGCCTAAACCCCAAGCCCAAACCCTGGGAAGACTGCGTAGAGCTCTGGGAGGCAGGCGGTTTGGGGTTTAGGGTTTAGGGGTTAGGGGTTTAGGGTTTAGGGTCTCCACGTGGGATTAGGGAGTCGGGTTTGGGGTTTAGGGAGCTGTTTGGGTGAAGGGTCGCGGCTTCGGGTAAGGGTTTGCGTTCCGGAAGAGGCGCGGGGGGGGGGGGGTTTATGGTTTAGGGTTGAGGGTTTAGGGTTCAGGGTTCAGGGTTTAGGGTTTAGGCTTTATAAGTTTAGGGTTTGGGGTTTAGGGTTTAGTTCGGGTTTACGGAGGGCTCTCATTTTCGATACTTTCTAATCGCATGGGGCATCGCATCAACATCGAAGCGCTTGCAGTTCTGAAGCCGCCAAGCACAGCCTAGACCTACACCATTAACCCTCAAACCAGAAACCCAAAAACCCAAAAACCCAAAAACCCTAAACCCTAAACCCTAAACCCCGAACCCCGAAGCCCTACCAGACTCTCAGCCCCACACCATGGGGAGGCACCCTGCTCTGCTCTCCCCCAAGCCGCAGACTTGGCCCGAGACATCCTAAGACCCCACCACCCCAACCTGTATGAGCACAAGCCCTGTGCCCCAAAACCCTAAACCCTAAACCCTAAACCCTAAACCCTAAACCCTAAACCCTAAACCCTAAACCCTAAACCCTAAACCCTCCCAAATCCGGAACGCTAAGGCACGTTCTCCCACTACGACTTGGCATTGCAGGACGTAGCGGAGCGCGTGGAAGGAGCCATCGTGCCATTCGAGCCATTGCCCAGACCCACATGTTTAGGGGTTTAGGGTCTAGGGTTTAGGGTTTAGGGTTTAGGGCTTGAGGGCTTTACGGGTCTGTTCGTCCCTCCATCGAACCTCTTATCGAAAGAGCCCTAAACTCCTAAATTCTCAACCCTAAAAGCCCCTTTGTGCTTCAAGCAAGCCTTGTCTATGAGGGGGCAGTGCCACAATGGGAGTAGGGGAAGGTGAGACTTCGAAACCCGATGAACCCGTTTACTAAAGCCCCAAAAACCGAAAGAAGCACTCAACTCACACTCCTCTCACCTACACTAACCTTAGAAACTCGGGGGGTGTCCAGATTTGACTTCTCGGGGCGGTTTAGGGTTTAGGGTTTAGGGTTTAGGGTTTAGGATTCAGGATTTAGGGTCTAGAGTTTAGGGTTTAGGCAACCTTAAAATCCCCGTTTGGCTAAGGCGAGCCAGAAGCTGAACTTTGAAGCCTTAAGCCCCACATGACATAGGCAAGCATGGTCTTGACGGCTAAGGGCTCGTCAGGAGCTTAAGCGACTTAGGCGTGCAAAGGTTTTCAAAGTTTCCAAAGGGTACCAAAGAAGCAAAAAGGCAAAAAGGCTGACCCTGAAACCCTAAACCAGAATCCTTTTTACACCCAAAAGCCCCAGCGCTAAACCCTACATCCTAAACCCTAAACCAGGTCGAAACCATTGTTGAATGAATGCCCCACCCTAGCAAAGCAAACACAACCAGAAAGCTGCTAAACCCTAAACCCTAAACCCTAAACCCTAAACCCTAAACCCTAAACCCTAAACCCTAAACCCTAAACCCTAAACCTTCAAATGAAAGGCTACTGAAACCCTGTTTTCGGCCCTGATGACTCGACTTGCAACTGGGCTGGGCTTCCGTTGTGAGACTGGGGGGGTTGTAGGGTTTAGGGTTTAGGGTTTTGAGGCTTCAGGGTGTTAGGGGGGAGGGTAGCAGTTTTTGGGCTGTTGGGGTTGGGTGTTTGAATACCTGAGGGTTTAGAGTCTAAATTTCTACAGGTTAGCATTGTCGTACCCTAAGCGACTGCCCGGACTCACAGTCTCTACGCATCCAAAGCCCTCAACCCTCAGCCCAACAAACTTTCCTCAAGCCTAAACCCTAAACCCTAAACCCTAAACCCTAAACCCTAAACTGTGTTCTTCCCATCCCTGAGAGGCCTTCGAAGCCGGATTATGTTTCACAACGCCCGTCTTTCTATGGACCCTGGAGACAACAAGGCACGCTTTGGTATTTAAGGGTTGAAGGGCTTAAGGCTTTTTGGTAGGGTTTATAGGGTGTAAGATTTTTGGGGGTTAGGGTTTCAGGGTTAGGGTTTAGGGTGTCAGGGTTTAAGGCTTGAAGGGTTTAAGGGTTCAAGGAGTCTAGGCCGCAGGTGTTGAGGAGGACTTCTCTTCTCCCTGCTGCTGAGGCTTAGGGTTTAGGGTTTAGGGTTTCGGGTTTCGGGCTTAGGGTTTAGGGTTTAGGGTTTAGGGTTTAGGGACGGATGGGCGTAGGGTTCGGGGTTTAGGGTTTAGGGTTTCAGGTGCCATGTCCGGTCGTTCCTGAAGACCCAGAGTAGGCCCTTGTTCCCTTTCAGGGTTTGGGCTCCCTTACAGGTTTAGGGTTTAGGGTTTAGGGTTTAGGGTTTAGGGTTTAGGGTTTCGGGTACCCCTCTTGCCCAAAAAGGGTACCCTTTTTGAATTCCTAGGTTACTCCTTGGGTCGAGTAAACCCCAAACCCTAGACCGGGAATCCCAGGATGAATGTTTGGGGAACAATCCTAAACCCGAAGCCCTAAACCCTAAACCCTAAACTCTAAACCCTAAACCCTAAACCCTAAACCTTGGGGAAGATCCCAAATATGAAGGTGCTTAAAGTCTGAAGTTTTTCTCGGCCAGTAGTTTTTTGTTTCTTTTTTTTCTCCGCTTTCCTGGCTACAGCCATGGCCCTTCAAGCCGAGCCTACAGTTTCTCAATGTCGCCCAAAAACGGGTTTAGGGTTTGGGGTGTAGGACTTCTGGTGCTGACCCCAACAAACTGGCAGAACTGAATAATAAGCCTGGCAATCTGACATCGTTGCGGGTAGCGACGAAGCACCGTTTCCGACATGTGCCATGGCTGCTAGTCGTCATCACCCCCCCATTCTAAACCCGAGACCCTCTGCCCTAAAAATCTTTGAGGATGGCAAACAGGGGCTGCAAATCCCTTTCGTGGAAGGATCCCATCGTACAGCGCATTGTGCACACACACGCCTTCGACATCTTTTGCGCCCTGGTAGTTTGCCTGAAACAAGATCTGAAGAGCAAAGGCTGAGCAAGGTCTTGATCTCTCAGTGTTTGGTGACCCGACCCAGGTCCCTTTCCTTATCAAGGTGCCCTTGAAGCTAGTCTTAGTATCTGAGGAGGTCACCTTTTCACTTTTTGGTAGCATATGAAATCCTAGCGTAATTGAAAGGTGAACCTTGGCTTGTTCCCCCTTCTTCTAGCAGTCCATAGTAGGGATTACCCCCCCTGTTTTTGTTCTCACCCAGGACTGCTAGTTTAAGGGGGAACACCCCAAGGTCAACCTTTTTTGCCCAGGGTACTCAGCAACTAGGCAGTCAGGGAGCCACCCTAAGCCCTAAACCCTAAACCCTAAACCCGCGCTAGGTTCTTGCAGATCTCAGGTTTGCATCGGGCGTAGGCTTTCTTAGGGCTGCATCGATCCAGCCCAACTTGGGCTGTGGTGTAGAGTGGTTTAGGGTTTAGGGTTTAGGATTTAGGAAACTGGGGATTCAGAATGAGGAGAATCAGAGCTTCAGCTCTTTAAACCCCCATGCGAGGGTAGCTCAGTCAAGCCAGCCCAGCAGAGTATAGGGATTACCAATGATATTCCCTTATGGTCCCTGTATAAATACGTATACTAGAGTAACCCCCAAAGCGCCCCAATATTTCCTAGAGGCTGCCGATCCACCCCTTCAACTTGGAATGTTACCCCTTATACAAACAGTCCGAGACAGGCATGACAATAGGGGTACGTACTCTAGTCCCGATTAAGGACTGTTTAGGGTTTAGGGCTTAGGGTATAACCGGGGGGGGGGGGAAACATCCCAACCCTCAACCCTCCAACCGAACTAAAACCCCCCAACCCTGGCTGGCTGGGTAGCCCAGTGGTGCCCTTTGCCCCTTTTTTTGGTTCAAGGTTCACTTCTTAAGAAACCAACACCAAAAAAAGGGTAGCCTTAGTACAATATGGTTGCCGGGGCTACCAAGCTGGGCTTTGGGATGTTTAAGGGTTTAAGGTCTAGCGACATGAGCCCCAGAAGAGGGCAGACGATTCTTCAAGAGCTCCGTGCAACATCTCGGGACACTACGCCTAGGTAGGGCCTTGGGATATGTTGTATTCTCCCTTGTTGGGCATAAGAGGCCAAGAGAAAATTGAAGCACATTTTTCAGAGGGTCTCAAGGCCATCCTAGCATAAAAAGATAGGGTTCTTAAGGGACGGGGGGCTTCAAGGGGGGTATGTAACGCAAGGGTCCCTAATACTCCCCACTACTCCCCAAGGCTCCCTAAGCTTCCCCAAGGTTCCCTAGGTCAGAGCCCTCAAAGCTTTTGACACTCAAACCCTCTTAGCTCTAAGACCGTCAACCAGAAACCCTAAACCCTAAACCCTAAACCCTAAACCCTAAACCCTAAACCCTAAACCCTAAACCCTAAACCCTAAACCCTAAACCCCTAAACCCTAAACCCTAAACCCTAAACCCTAAACCCTAAACCCTATAAACCCTAAACCCTAAACCCTAAACTACCTGCCGCCCTACAGAACCCCCCGCCCCTGCCCCTAATAAATCCCACAGACTACAAGGGGTCGGAATAATTGCTAATGAGACAAAAATGAGCCCCAACCGGTTTAGGCTTAAGGATTCAGGGTTTAGGGAAGATTTGCCTTATTGGATTTTAAGTGCATCATATTTAGGGTTTTAGGGGCTCCTTTATTTTAACGGCGTCTAGATCGCCTTGAAAATCTTCCATTTCAATTTGCCTTCTTGGGCGGATTAAGAGGATCTTGCGTACCAATATCTGCCAGAAAGGTATCAAGTACCCCTGTTCAAACCTTAACCCCCCACACACACACACACACAACAAACGCGCACACACACACACACACAAACAACAATAAAAAGCAATCCAGCAAAAAAGACCCAAAACCCAAAACCTTAAACCAAAACCCTAGACCCAAAACCCAAACCCTAAACCCCAAGCCCCAAACACTAAACTTCTTTCACAGGGAGGGGACCATCGTTTTTGTGAACTGACCTCCCGAACCAATAGGTGGTGATCAGCAACTCGCTTCCTGGATGACAATGCAGGTTGAGGGTTGAGGGTTTAGGGTTGAGGGTGTTGGGTTTAGGGTTGAGGGTTTAGGGTTGAGGGCTTAGGGTTTAGGATTAGCTTTTAGGACCTTAGGGTAGCCATTCGGGGGGAGCTTGAAATGACGGTCCTCTTGTGGCTGAGGGATCTATGCCGTGTTAAGAAGGTCGTTTTGGGTGTCCGTGTCCGTGTCCGTGTCCGTGTCCGTGTCCGTGTCCGTGTGCGTGTGCGTGTGCGTGTGGGTGTGGGTGTGGGTGTGGGTGTGGGTGTGGGTGTGGGTGTGTGTGTGTGTGTGTGTGTGTGTGTGTGTGTGTGTGTGTGTGTGTGTGTGTGTGTGTGTGTGTGTGTGTTTGTGTGTGTGTCTCTGTGTGTCTCTGTGTCTCTCTGTGCGTCTCTCTGTGTGTCTCTCTGTGTGTCTCTGTGTCTCTCTGTGTCTCTCTGTGCGTCTCTGTGCGTCTCTCTGTGTGTCTCTGTGTCTCTGTGTCTGCGTGTCTATATATGGGTGCATGCGTGCGTGTGTGCACGTGTATGTTCATGTGCGCGTGTGTGCGCAGCAGGTGTGAGAGGCTGCGCGTGTGCGTGCGTGTGCAGTCAGGATCTTCCTCGGAGTGGCGGCTCGACTGCAGCGGGACGTCCTAAACCTACAATATCCCAGGTTTTTGGGTGTAGGAGCAATGACTGTACCCTCAGCCTAAAACTCTAAACCCTACAGCCAAGTCCTATTCGTCCGAACCTTGTGTCCTCCCATGAAATGCCCTAAACTCTAAAACCGTCCTATGCCCACACTCCCTCAGCCCCATGTTTTCTTACACTTTACCGGAATCACCCAACTGACCTTAACGTGCCAGATGTTCAGAGGAGAGAACACACAAGCTTTGCTTGAAATGTACATGAGACTGGCACTGGGTAGCTGGATCCTAAACCCTGGCAACCTGAACCCTCAACCGTTCACGTGAAACCCTAAATCCCTATAGGGTTTAGGGGTTTAGTGGTGGAGGGGTTTAGGGGTTTAGGGCTTTTAGGGGTTTAGGGGTTTAGGGGTTTTAGGGGATTAGGGGTTGGGGTTTAGGTTTAGGCCCCAAATTGGACTCTTGCACCCTGGACCCTGAACTCGAACCCCTTCGCCGTAAACCCTAAAGCTTCTCTGAGCCCTGGACCCCCAGAGCAGCCCTGTAAACCATGAGACGTAAACCCTGAAACCATGAGACCTACGCCCTAACGATCCCAAAGCGACACCCTTATAGCAGCCTAAGCCCTATACACCCTTAATAAACCCTGAGCCCTAAACCCTAAACCCTCAACCCTGAACACTGAACCCTAAACCCAAAATCCTAAACTCCAAACCCTAAACCCTAACCCTCTTTCAAACGAGCACCCAAAACGCAGCGAGAACCTCAACGCCGATCTGTGCCCCCCCCCCCCCCCCCCCCCCCCCCCCCCCCCCCACCCGCGCCCCCTCCCAAGGAGACGGAGCCGCCCGGCCGAGATGAGCTTTCCCTAATGGGGTTTTAGGGTTTAGGGTTTAGGGTTCAGGGTTTTAGGGTTCAGGGTTCAGGGTTCAGGGTTCAGGGTTCAGGGTTGAGGGTTCAGGCGAAGTACGGGTGGCGAACCTCCCCCCCCCCCCACACACTCTGCCCCTTTGCCCTTGGTTTGAGTTTTCCCAGTACTTTGGGGGCCGGGGGGGGGGGGAGGAGGCTTCGGGACTAAATACGTGGATGGGTTTAGGCTTTAGGGCGTCGGGTTCAGCATCTCAAGTTCAAGAATTCACTAGTAAGGCTCCTTACTCCGGTATCGAATATCGACCCACACACCCATCGGATTCCATAAATGAACATATTTTACTTCTCGATTTAACCCAACGTGGGGTTGCGTCCGGGGGCTTTCCCGGAAGCCCCCACGCACGGTTCAGGTTGTCTCCCCCAGACGGGTTGTCCCGGGCCCCTCTGGGACAAATGTCCCCAGCGGCGCTTGTCCACGAATTGTTGGCGCTTGTCCGCGACTTGTTGACGCTCGTCCACGAATTGTTGGCGCTTGTCCGCGATTTGTTGGGGCTTGTCCGCGAATTGTGGGCGCTGGTCGGCGAATCGTTGGCGCTATTTTCCGGCGCTTGTCCGCGAATTGCTGGCGCTCGTCAGCGAATTGTTGGTGTTTTGCCGCGAGTTGGCATTTGTCCGCGAATTGTTGGCGCTTGCCCACGAAATCTTGGCGCTTGTCTGCGACTTGTTGTCAGTTGGCGGAAAACCGCGAATCCATTGGCCATTAAATATACATAGGTCAGAGAGGGTTTAGGGTTAATTAGGGTTTAGGGTTTAGGGTTTCGGGTTTAGGGTTTAGGGTTTAGGGTTTACGGTCAAAGGCTTAAGTGCTTGCCTGGGCGATTCACCGAGGTGGAGCATCACGAGACCGGATGTTATCCCACAAAGCTTCCAGATCGTATCAACTGCAGCTGGGCCGACTTACCCTAAACCCTAAACCCGAAGCCCTAAACCCGAACCCGAAACCCTAAACCCTAAACCCTAAACCCTAAACCCTAAACCCTAAACCCTAAACCCTAAACCCTAAACCCTAAACCCTAAACCCTAAACCCAGAACCCAAACTTCCCGGCCCTGAAGCCCTTCAGCACCCACCCCTTGGTTGAGGGGGTTGACCAGACTCTGCAGGGTTTAGGGGCTAGAGGGTGTCTAGGCATTGAAGGTGAGAAGGGGTGTAGGGTTTAGGGTTTAGGGTTTAGGGTTTAGGGTTTAGGGTTTAGGGTTTAGGGTCTAGTAGCCTAGGGGTCCTGGGGCACCTGCCTCAAAGCCATCCTGAGACACATTTTGATTTGGTTCCGCTTTGTTTCGTGCAAGGCTGTGCACTTAGGTGCCCGTGGCCTGCTTGACGAGGATAAGGTTGAGGGTTTAGGGTTTAGGATTTTGGGTTGAGGGTTTGGGTCTTGGGCTGTTCACACGCTCGAAAGTGCTAAACGACCAGCGGCTTAGTGCCAGATGTTGGGTGCAGAAAGACTTGTGCCAACGAATTTGGGGTTGCAGAGGATACGGGAGCCGCCCCCCTTGTAGTTCCAGTAGAATTTTATATCTCGAGCTACGCAACATATCCATTCTTGTTCAAGAGGGCCCTAAACTACTATTTGCTTGAGAACCCCAAAAGAATAGAAAATATTCCCTTTATTACCCTTATAAGGAAGAATTTTTTTGGGTGGTTCTTAAGCAATTAGCAGTAAATCAGCTAGGTTTGCACGATTTTGGGATGCTCAGAGCACCCTAATCCGAGCTCCTGTTTAATTTAACCCCCCATATTTAAAGAAAAAAATTTTGCCCGGATTCCCGCCGGAAGACTACTTTCCATTACGATGGATTTCGTATGGGCCAAACCCTCCACATTTAAAGAACTTTTTTTTGGGGGGGTGTTGTCAAATTTTGAAACTCTGCCTTTCGGAAAGCTTGAAGCCCGTAGTCTTGAAAGAAACCTTGAAGCTTAAAAGGAAAAGCTTTAAGGAAGCCGGTGCTTCGGTTTTCTGGAAGCTGAGGGCCTTCAGAAAGCAAGGATTTCTTATGTGATTGCTTACTGGAGGAGAGAAATTTTCATTCTTTCCTGAGCTACCCCTTACGGGCTCTGGCAGGGAAAGGCAGAGTCACATTAATAGAATGGGGCCAGAATTATGGGAAGCCCCGGCCCGTGGGGAGCCCTGGTCCTGTAGTCTTGAAAGAAACCTTGAAGCAGAGAAACCATACGGGGCCATGGTCCAACTATTGCGGAACCCTGCTTTCCTTATTGTGGGGGGGGGGGGGGGGGGGGGGGGGGGGGGGCCCCCCCACCAATTAAACAGGAGCTCGGATTAAGCCCGAAACCCTAAACCCGAAACCCTAAACCCTAAACCCTAAACCCTAAGGGTTTCTGGTTTAGGGTTTAGGGTTCAGGGCGAAGCGGCTTGTAGCGGCTGGTTTCCGAGAGCGGAACTACGCGGAAGGCCCGCGAATGTGTCGCGGAAGCTCCGCGGAAGGCGACCGGTCGCTTAGGAAGCCTGAGGCCCATTCTAGGGTTTAGGGTTTAGGGTTTAGGGTTGAGGGATGCCTCTCCCGTTTCTATGCCTCCCACTTGGAGGTTCAGGGCACTTATCACCCCCAATGATAACTGTACAAGACACCTCGGTCGCCTGAGTAGGTTCAAAGTAGACTTGTATCTGGGGTTCTAAGTGCCCACATGAGTTCCCAGAGGGTCCATGTGTAGTACCATTATGGAATTAGGTACCCAAAAACCATACTCAATAGGGTTTTTGGGGTACCTCATTCCATAATAGTACTACAAATGGACCTTCTGTGGAACCTCCAAGCAACCCCCCGCGTTACGGGGGGCGTTGAGGATGCCTGGAAATCCTTCACACTCAGGCTGCTGATTTTCGTGTATAGGGCTTTAGGGTTTAGGGTTTAGGGTTTAGGGTTTACGGAAGGCTCGCAGAAGGAACGTGGAAATATGCCTCGGAAGAGTCGGAAGGGTGAGAATGTCCACCACTTCATGCTTGAGATGAAGACACTGCTCAAGTGGTTCGAGTATCTCTCGACCATACAAAGCCGAAATTCCTGCAAAGCTTAGAAGCCCTGAACCCTAAACCCTATCAAACCTATAAACCCGAGTGTCTATACAGTCGAAAGACCCTTCACGCCAACCCTGTAAAAAAAAAACTATAAAGCCTAAACCTTGCCATTTTCTAATTTTCCCTTTCATCAGGTCTATGCAAACCCTAACCCTAAACCCTAAACCCTAAAACCTAAACCTTTCTTCACCAGGTCTATGCCTGCTTCTTCACACTTGAGCTGATGATGCGCATCGGCGCAGACGGATGGCACATTTTTTGCAACGCTGATTGGCCACTTAGCGGCAGCCTAACACTCAAGTGAGGGTTTGGGGTTTAGGGCTTAGGGTGCAGGGTTTATAGGGTTAATAGGGTTAATAGGGTTTATAGGGTTTATAGGGTTTATAGGGTTTATAGGGTTTAGAAAGACCCCCAAAAAGTATGATCTTCTGTCTAAGAAGGACCCCAATAATAAGGTACCCCTGTAATCCCCCAAGTCCTACGAGCCCCCCCCGAAACCCTAAACCCTAAACCCTAAACCCTAAACCCTAAACCCTAAACCCTAAACCCTAAACCCTAAACCCTAAACCCTAAACTGAAGACCGGCCCCCTTTCCAGCGATAGGGGCCGGTCGTTAGCAGGTCACCGGCAGGGGCCTGCGGACCCGTAGGCGAAGGCCGAAAGGCGAGCCGTAGGGTCCTGGACCTCAGGTCCACGCGGCGCTCGAATAGGCCGCTTCTGTCAGCCTATATAATGATAGCCCTAAACCCAGGTGCAAACGACCGGGAAGGCTTGAAATCCTCTGGTCTGGGCTCATTAGGGCCCGAAGGCTTCAGTCAAGAGTTTAGGACCCAAAATTAAGAGCTTGCTTATCCCGGAAACACAGCAGGAAGACTTCCTGGAGTACCAATTTGCTTCTCCTGGGACAGAGAAGGACTTCCGGGAGGGTCAGTTTGCTTATCCCGGGACAGAGAAGGAGGACTTCCTGGAGGGCCAGTTTGCTTATCCCGGGGACAAAGAAGGAGGACTTATTGAAGGTTCCGGGGACAAAGAAGGAGGACTTCCTGGAGGGCCAGTTTGCTTCTCCGAAGCAAACAAGGAGGATTTCCTGGAAGGACAACAGGACTTCCTGGAGGGCCAGGTTTGCTTATCTCGGGGACAAAGAAGGAGGACAGCCGGAGGTTTGTTTGTCCGGGGACAAAGAAGGAGGACTTCCTGGAGGGCCGGTTTGCTTCTTGGGGACAAAGAAGGAAGATTTCTTGGAGGGCCAGTTTGCCTTTCCCGGGGACGAAGAAGGAGGACTTCCTGGAGGGCCAGTTTGCTTATCCCGGGGGGACAAAGAAGGAGGACTTCCTGGAGGGCCAGTTTGCTTTTCCCGGGAACAAAGAAGGAGGACTTCCTGGGAGGACTTCTGGAGCTTTAGAAACACAGGCCCGGAGGCTTAAATTAAGGGTTTGAACATGCTTTGAAAGTTTGCTAAGACCACGGAGGGGAATCGAGTCGAGCCTGCTGCTTTTGCCGTCGCCAATCCTGAAAGGGCTTGAAAATCTTCCAGGGACCACGGAGTGGAATCGAGTCGAGCCTGCCGCTTTTGCCGCAGCCAATCCTGAAAGGGCTAAACTTCCAGCCTTGAAAAGGTTTCGAAGAACTGCTGAGTGGAAACGAGTCGAGACTGCTGACGGTTGCTCTTTTTGGGGGTTCTTGTCAAACTAGAAGCGGCCGGGGAGGCAACTACGAGTCCTAGGGGGAGCTACGAACCCTGCCCGGCCTTGATCGTGCCGCACGCTTTTGGCACTCGATGCGAAATGCCTTCGGTGAAGTTGGCCTTGCGGGTGATACGGGGTATGGACAGGGATCAGACCGAGTCACATCACCTCATACTCGAAATGGAAACACGATCCAGGAATGCTTCGACTACAATACACTTCAAGTTTCACACTGGTTCCCGGTCTGCCCTGTTTGTTGTTGATCAAAACCCCTTTCTGTGCCAACGAAATAGGCACAAGCAAATCTTGCGACATCCTTTCCCACCATGCAGTGGGGTTTTGGGGTTTCGTCAGGATGTCGCTGAGTTGAATGGTGTTCGGGATCCACCCTATTGGCAGATCTTTGCTCCATTGCTCTTCTTTGAGGCTTTGCCTCAAAGCTGCAAGATCTACTGCCAGCCGCTTATCACTGGGCACCCTCGGCACCCCTTGCTTAGTGAGGTGGTCGAACAAGGATCTGCAGTCGGAGAGGCAAAGGATCGGAATGATGGCGTCGACCACGGAGACAAGGGAGCCAGAGCGAAGTGTTTCGTACATTGAGCGGATGTACTCGGCGGTCTCCAGCCCTTCCACACAAGCTTGGGTCTCCGCACCGAACGTGCTCCGGCAAACTCGCTGTCCTGCCTTGGATCTCCAATCGGCGACACTGTACTTCCCGGGCTCTCCAGACAGAACTCCGCGATCTGCAAAGAGCACCAGACATCCCAGTTGCGATGCCACCTTCGAGTTGTTCCTCTTGGCCTTCCTCCCTCCATCTTTGTCGCAGAAGGGACCTTCGCGCTGCAGCCCTCGTTCATTGTCAGAAGGAGACAAAGAGAACCAGCCATCCTCTTGATCGTCCGGTGGAGTGTTGGCCCAGGCTGCGTCGTGGTAGTTCAAGATCATCAACCTCTGCTCGGGGATGGGTCGGAAGTGAAGCCCTTCGTGTTTGAACTGCTGCGCCCTGTTCGCTATACTGTTGGTGAACTTCAAGTCGTCTATAACGGGGGAGCTTTGCAGTTGTTGAGCCATACTCACCGAGCAGGTGAGGTCCGGCCTAGATTGGGCAGAAAGCCAGGAGAGGGCCCCTATGAGGCTCCTGTTGTCTGCGATGAGCTCCGGTGTCGCAGGGGTGTCTCCGGGAAGGCCGCTCGGGATGTCCAGGGAGAACAGTCGGGAACTGGCGTACTTATCCTGGTTGATGTGTACCCCTTCTGCATCCTTCCAAAGATGAGAGCCCAAGAACTCGAAGGAGTCATTCTCCCAGCTGTCTATCGGAAAGGTGGCCGAAAGAGCCTGTTGCAAGGAATCCCGACACGACCGAGGCGCGGCAATGATGAGGTCGTCCACATGGCTGCCTAGGTAGGCGATCGGTTCACCTCGGAATCCTCCGTCGCCATCACGTTCGCGCAACATGAAGATACAAGGGTCCAATGGGCACTGATCGAACCCAAAACTCTTTCCGCTGTTCTTGCCCCCAAGGTCGTCAATGGTGATGCCTTTGATGCCATTCTGAAGGTCTCCCCACCATTCGTGAGGGCTTGTGGCGAGGCCGAACACATTCTTCTTCACTCTCACGAGGTCGCCGGGGCTCATGTCGGGAAAACCTGTCCTTGGCTGGTGGATGTACAACTCGCGATTGAGGTAGCTCCCGGTGAGAAATGCGCACCGGATGTCTCCGGCTGAGAGACACCAGGGGTCCTCTCCCCCCATGCCATTGGCGGCCCTTTGCATCATGCAAGCCAAACCAGCCCGGGAGAGCGTAGGGGCGTCCGTGGATAGCTGTTCTACTCCGAGGTCTGGATCGGTGTGGCCAGCGATAACCAACCTTGCTTTGCACTTCCAAGGGGTTTCGCTTGTGCCGCCATTGCTCTGCTCCTCCTGCAACCTTTTCGCCCAGTTCTTGTCCTTGTAGGCCCATCTGCTCCGGAGGATTCGCTTGGCCCCCACCCTCTCAATGACTTCCCTGGATTGTTGGGCGTCCAGGGGCTGCAAGGCGTCGTATTCCAGATGTTCCAGCCACTGCTTTTTCTCTGCCGACCGGAACTCCTCTCTCTTGTGCTCTGGAATCTCTGCCCACTTGAGCTCTTTCTCCTTGCGCTTCTCGACGCCCCGCCTGGTGAGGTCGGACTTGAGCATCATGGCCTGGTGAGGAACGGGAACATCTCGAGGGGGCCTCGAAGAGAGCTCTGAGGCTGGTGTCTTCCTTTTCAGCCTTCGGACTGGTATGACGTCGTCCGACATATGTTCTAGGGCAATGTCCCCCTGCTGCTCATTGATCTCGTCGTCCAGGTCAGGCTCGTAGTCGGCTAGCTCGTCGTCCAGCGCCTGGTCCCCAGACTCCTCGTCATCGGCCTCAAACACCTCGGGGTTGTCGAAGTCCTCTTGAAGGAGTCGTTCTACCTCCCTCTGTACTCCCTTCATGACGAAGAGCTCGCCGATCTCCTCGGGGGATGCAGGTCTGACATGCTCCGGTGCAGTGAGTCTGCAACGGCCTCCAAAGGAAATCCAATAGTTGCACCCCTGTTTGCCGACGATCACTCCTGGTCCTTTCCACTCACCTCGTTTCCTGTCTTTTCGCCGATGCCAGAAGTGCACGCTTTCACCTGTCTCTAAAGGTCTGGATGTTGTTCTCGCTCGTTGGAGCAGTGCTCGACGGAGGCGATCATCAGTCTGGCTTTTGTGAAAGGCGACTCGAGCCGAGGCTCGAAGGGCCGCTTGTCTCTGAAAGCGGGCCTCGCCAGAGAGATCCCAGCTCACCCGCTCGCCATTATCGGGATCAAGCAGGTCTTCTGGTACCCTGGGTCCTCGTCCGAACACCCACTGCGAGGGGCTGTGTCCATGCCGTCGGCGAAGGTCATTCTTTGCCGCATTGATCAAGGGCACCACCAATGTGACCTCGCTCTCTTCGTCGACACTCATCTCGTGGATCACTCGATCCCAAATTGCCTTCCACCAAGCTCCTTGTCTCTCGACCATTCCAGCTTGCCAGTGTCCTTGCGCTGCAACGGGTTTGACCTCGATGTTGTGCCAGTCGCACAGCCGGCTGATCCCAGTCTGGAGTCCTCCCTCTAGGTCTGCGACGATGCACTTCGGGGCGCCGTATGGTCCTATCCACAAAGAGTTGATTGCTTCCTCTACTTCTCCCCCTGTTTGCCCTCCAAGTTTGCCCACGATGTGGAAGGTGGTGCCGTAGTCGACGATGGAGATAAAGGTATGCCTCACATCCGAACAATCGTGCGCATAGAACACGTCGATCCCAATCACGTCGCCAAAGTCGTACATGTGAGGTAGCGATGAGGGTCTTGCACTCTTGGGCATGGCATTCGCTTCGCATGTTTCACACTTCATGGTCTTGAGGGCTTTGAGGACCGGGACTTCACATCCTGCTAATCGTAGGTGTCGTAGTAGGTCGACTCGTCGTGGGTGCCCGAGGTTTTGGTGGAGTCTCCTCAGGGCGCTGGCGATCATGGGTGGGGTGTCCTCGCTGAAGGTGATCCCGGTCCCGTCAAGGCGTGACGGCTTATCTTGAACTCCCCCTTCAGGAGC